AGCGTAAGGCTGGCATGCGCAGCAGACGGAGGCGGAAAAATACAACCAGGCTGTCATCCCATTAAATCTCTCATTCGCTACTATCCTCGGGTAGTTTGTAAATCCAACAATGACAAGGACAACAACAACAACAACAAAAGGTCCAATGCTGCCGCAGCATGCGTCTGCCGTTCGGGGCAAAGGTTTGGCTGGCCACTCGGTTCGGGTGGGTCAAAAACAGTGTCGGCTCAGCCTTCAGCATTGCTGGTACCACACTGAGAAGGGACAGCAAACATCGCGCAAAGAAACATTGCTTGTTTTACTCTTGCTGCTTCTGTCAAGTACAGAGCGGCGCATCCGGTAATAGTATCTTTGACGACAACGGCAATTTCTGTCCAAATGGTCTGTTGTAGCGTCAGGGTGTCATCCCCTCACCATGGGAATTATCTAGGAGGAAACGTTGCCATGGATAGAAAATGAGGTTCGTCTAGTGTCGCAAACGCTGTTTGTCGGTGCTCGGTGGGTTCCCGAGTGAGTCGACTAACTCCAGTCGACAAGAGGCTGCAGCAACAACGACAGTGCCTCTGTCTTCGTCTGCGTCGGATCCTCGTTGGTGAGCGACGAGGACAGTACCACGGACGACAAGAAAAGATATGAGAATGACGATAACAACAACGACAACGCTAAACAGACAACGAACGAAACCCCACAGAAAGGGAATTGCGGAACTTTGCTTGTTCCGGAAGTGTCCGGAAGGGTCGTCGACACATCACTATAACATTGTTGTTACTCGTTGCTGTTGGCATCGTCGTGTTGCTGGTTTGCCTGTTGGCAAATTGCAATTCATCCGAATGCTGGGCCACTGTCACGCACGCGTCTAACGGACTACGATTTGTATATACAATAGAATAGCCATACTAGTAAAGTTAGTGATGCTCACTTGCAGTCTCGTGGGTTTGGCCTACGCCTACGCTTTCGGGTATATGAGGCCACTCTACTCTTTTCCACCCATAATAAACTGAGCAGCGGAACAAAGCGGACTGACGAAGCATTTGGCCATCTAGACTATACAAGGCTGCTCTGCGTCGACGACTACACGATACACGATGCCAACTGTTGAGTGTACGAGGGGACCTACATGTGTACACACGCTGTGGCTCTACAGAACGACGGCTACAATATACTTTCTTCTCGATATTTTTTTTTTACTTTTGAATATCAATTCGATCTAGTTAAGCAAAACAAATCTCTTACCGACGCTTCGTAGCATGTAGACTAGTCGTTGACAACATTTCTATAGTACGATTTATGTTTGAGTGCGTATTTCATATATCATATAGGACATATTAAATTCGAAAAGGATATGTGGTGCTCTAAAACGTTTCCATCGGTTGCTGTGTTCGAGTTTGTCCGGGCAGACAAGAGCCTTTTTAAGACACGCTTAAGGCACCTTTTAAAGTAAAGTTTTTTTTCGCAAAGCATTAAATGCATGTAACGGTACCGACTAGCTGAGTGGGTTAAAGAGTCTTGAGCCTTATTGAACCCGATAGTTAGGTGGGATACGCCTTTTTTGTGACGCTTTATAAATATCTCTTTTCGCGTAACGAGACTTTATGTACTAACGTACTGTCGCCGTTGTTGGAGGAAAACGGGTGTCCGAACCGAGAGTTTCAAAAAGATTTCAGGCGAATCTGGACGTCCTGAAAGTAAGTGAAGGGGCAGCCACGCACAGGACGTAATGATTGGGTTGTCGAAAAGATACTGACGTTTGTTTAGTTAAGTAGCTTTAAAGCCATATAGATCAGGCAACATAAGCGCCTTAAACACGTAGGCTGTTTACGACCAAGATGCGTTATCGAACGTAAGGGTTTTGTCGAGTTCGGTCGGAAAATTTCGATGTTTTTCCTACCCGTCGAACGGTCACGAAAAAAGCTGGCGAAATTATTGAAGAAACGAACATGAGCGACATGTGAAAAGCCATGACATCGCCAAAGGATGTCGTCCACACGAAAAAGGAAACTTAACCTGTAAGTGCTACACGAAACGTTTGCGAAACTCCACAGAAACGTAGCGAAATCGAATTATCTTTAAGGCGCTTGGCCACGAAGGATGAAAACCGTATTATCTATGGCAGTAGTGTGCAAATAACAAAAAAAAAAAGTGTTCTCTGCAATCCAGAGTAATACCAAGAGAGGTAATGTTATGTATTAGGTATAACTGAGAAAGAAATCGCATACTATGAATTGCTGCCGTCCCACGAAGCGATTGATCTGTACAGGAACTACCGACAGTTAGCCATGAAAAACATTTATAGAACGTTAAAAAAGTCGACCAGAACTAGGTGACTGAAAAGGCGTTGTCCTTTATCATAACAATAGCGCAAAAAATCAAGGGAACTTATATGGGAAATGTTTACGCATTTGGGCCACATGGCCTAGATGTCGTACCACGAGACTATTATCTGTTTCGTTCTTTGCAGAACTTGCCTAAAATTAACTAAAACCAATATTAGTAGAGATATTCAAAAATCACTTATCAAAATGTTTGCCCACAGGGGAAGAGGCCACACGGATCCAACGGTGATGAAATTATGGTGTTATTAAAAAAACGGCAGAAAGCAACCGATCAGAATGGCATATACTTAGTTTAAAGTACATTTTTTTTTCTTAATTTTTAATTTTTTTTTTAATACAAATATATTTACGTCTACTTTGGCTTCGATAGACAAACATGTGGAGATAGTCTGGTACTCAAGGCATATTCCAACTACATCTCCGTACCGCCAGTATTCAGCCTAGTTTTATGTAGAAACACGAACGCGATGCTAAATTATACGAGCAATTGGACAAAAGTGAATAACTTATCTATGAAAGGTATGTTTCCATATGGTGTCGTATCATGTGCCCCTATGACGTGAATAGTTAACTGAGTTGCTTAAGCGTACCACCTAGCTAGCACAATGCTAGCTTTGGCTTCTCTGGTCGTCAAGACCATAATTGCTCGAACGACTCAATACCGTTTTTGTTCAGAGCCGCCACTGGTGTTACTTTCGTTCGTTTTTTTTTCAAAACGACAAAAAAGGCAAAGTCAAAACGGGTCAAGAGACGCTGTATATTCACAAAGAGATTGCCGGGACGACCGAGGTTCCTCTCGATGTCTTTTCAGTCGTTCGGTGATTCCAGCCGCGGCTACGGCGATGTTTTAAAAATGTGCAGAATTTTTTGAGTGCACCGGCCCTATCACGACGTAGAGAATATGAGAGCGTGAATGAAGACGTATGGGAGAACGAGCTGCATTGTAGGAACTAACGGGCTGCTGTTTCGAGAAGCAGGGGCACAATGTGCTTCCATAGTCGCTCGGCGTGAGCAGCATGCACTTGGAATTGTTTAGAAAAAGAGCAGATAGAGAACGAGACACCAATTTGACTTTTCTTTCATAAATTTGTCCTTCAAACTTGCTTCACATCTTTTCAGATTCACGGGCTTTTCTTTTTCTACACTTGTTCTTATCGCTCACTGCGCATGTACCTGCGCATCTGCCTTTTGTTCAGTGTCAAGTAGTCACAATTATCATACCTATTGTACGGTACGTGCCGACTTATCAACTTAGCGTCCAGACCAATCTCTGCAGTAACAGTGATACGAACGTCGAGAGCGAGGAGAGGTACTAAAGCGATACGATATGACGGTATGATAAGACAGCGTCATGCAGCGTTATCATCGAAGAAACAGCAGTTCGTCGTAGCCGTCACTTATCACCATGAGCGAGAGTGTCACTCACTACTGCCACACCCAAATCGAATAGCTAGTCACTCGTTCATGGCAGACATTACAGATCAGACATAGATAAGTACTGAAGTTAAAAATCATACACTGTGGAACTGGCACAGCCGAAATTAGTGAAAGGAGCTAGAACACAGGAGTGTTAGATAATATCCATTGAAAGTTGTACGTAGCTCCCGCAGTAACTGTGGAACAACAAGAATCCTGTTTTCGCGCCAGCCAGCCTCAGCTTCGCGTTCGGTGCCAACTAATTCAGTTTAATAATAAATGTCGCAAGCTTTACTTTCGGCTCTTAAGCCGTTAGACATTGCTTCAGACGGCTGGCTTCTAGCACAAAACGAAGTATGTCTGCGCCCGGATTCGAACCGACCATCACTGTTCCTCTAGTTCAGTAGGCAGATATACTACCGTTGCGCTTTACGGGAATAGGTATTCAAACTTACCTGCTCCGAGTCAGCACAGAGTCTAGTGATCCTTGACAAATGATCGAAGCAAACGAAAGACTACAGAAAACTTGCGGGATTGGGAAAGTAACTTGCGGCATTGATTAAGAAAACCACTTTCACGCAGTATCGATTTAATGAAGTGAATAAATGATTATCAAGTTGCCGGCGAAGGCGAGCGAAAGATGAACCAGCAGCGGTAAGCCCCAGAGATAAAGACCGTTTGGAGCAGGAAAGGGATTGAGCCTGGCTACGAGAACGACATTAGATCATCGTTTAGGTAATTGAAAACATTGTAGGTCGGTTCTTCTGCAACGGCCACGTAATCTCGTCCATGCACAATCGTTTATAGTAAGCGCCTTCAGCTGCATTAACAAAAAACTATAGTCGACCTTTAACCGTTAGTAACAGAGTAACCTACGAGTACATAACTGAACATACAGCGTTTCTGACAAAATTCTTTTTCTGTTACCCGTCACATTTCGTACAATAACTAAATCGCAGACAGAAGTACAGTCTTGCTCACCGCACTATAAAGTAAAATTATCATAAATTATCGACTATCCGTTATTCACGGATTTATATATCTAAAAGATAACTCTATTCCTTATCATTATCATAATCATACCCTATCATTATTACACGTGTTTTCCAGATACTATTTATGCGTACACATTGTAGCATAGTAAACTGTATCGTCTTTGGGTGTATTTCAGCAATTGATAAAGACAGTTGCATATTTTATCAATTAGATATCGCTTGGGTATGTTCTCTCCTAATCTTATCACGCACATACCAGTCCGTTGCAGGTCGAGATGGCTGCCAAGGCGCTCAAGTAACCGCCGTTAAATTTGCGTAACTTCCCACTGAAATGGCAGTGTTTTTTATGGCTGCCCAAATGTAGTCGACTATGAGCTATATTGCCCACACCACGGTGACGTTCGATTACCAGCGCTGGTGAGACAAAGTAGCGATTGGGCCGTAACATGACATGGTAGTTGGTACCTTCGATGGGTAACTCATAGTAGACTTCTTCGTCTTTGTTACTGCTAGCCGGGCTACCGTGAACATTTCGCCGGCTTCGTAGATGTTGATGAGGTTCGGAGGAGGATAAAGATGAAAACACTGTCGAGTCATCGTTATGATGACTGCCTCGGCCGTCATTTGTTGACGATGGCGATCCTGGTTCGGCTGAATGCGCCAGATGGTGCGAAAGAAACGTGCCATCAGCTGTCACCTTGCGTGGATGAATCACCTCAAACCACTCAAGGTCCAGGGCGAATCGCTCTGAAACCAAACATCAACAATACTTTATTGTTATACACATGTGGTAATATAAAATATATGTATATACATATAATCAGCATTTTGAAATGGACGCATCTCTTTCTTCAGGCGGCGTACCAACAGTTGCTTGTAGGCGTTCGTCTTCTGATCTACTTTTCTACTGTTCTACTTCTGATCTACGGCTAATAGTACACATAGATTTTCTCTCACAAAACAAAGCAATTTCCATTGGAGTCGGCGACGTATTCTTAAACTAAGCCAGCTACGAACGTACAATCAGAACATGAAATTACCTCTGCAATGCTTCCCGTTTTTACGTATCCTTTACCTCAGGTTTATGTTTTTACCTAAGCGTGTGATCACTAAAGGTCATCATCACACAATCAGATCACGTGAACGAAGAAACTATCGTAATTTGGTCATGACGAATGAGATCATGATTCGACTACTTGGTCTTTGGGCAGATGGGCCCAACTGCTAGATTGATCCAAAATACTAATTTCCTTTCTTCAGCCTCCCGTTGCAGACATGCTACGTACGTTCTTTGCCGTTCAGCCCGTAGATATGTCTAAAGTCATAAATACGCTATATTGCATTTATATCAACAAGGGCCAATATTTTACAGCGTTTGACTTGCGTAATAGCATTTAGGCTAGTTGGAACGGTCCTGCAGCTGATAGCTGCAACGGTCGATTTTGGCCTTTCGATACGACTCCGCGAAATTTACAGATGAATACGAGATGGACGTTACAAAAAGCTTATCTCTACCTATTCATTAGTAGTAGCAATAGTATTAATGAGAGTAGATGGATAAGGACTATTGTACCTTGGTTCGGAATAATGCAAATCAAAACAGCTCTAGAAACTTCATAGCCTTCCTCACCTAGGCCATTTCCATTGTTCCTGTGGAACCGCCATGTGGCACCGACCTGTCTCATTTTGCCCCAAGCCTTTTTCGCTTCCCTCTTTGTGAACGACAGTAGTCCATCGCTTTGGTACAGTATACGCCCCATGTCTTTCGTTAGGTCGGTTCCGTCGCCTGTTAGGAATGCTAACGTATATATGTGATGTTATTACGCATCGTCTATCCGAAAGACTAATGGGCAAACCAGTATGGAATATAGAGGGGGCTAGATATACCTGTACAACCGCCAACACACGACACAAGACGTAGATATACAAACAGGTGGGTCAGAGCAGTTGAATTCAGAACATGGAGATACCGGTTTGTAGAAAAAGCTTGAAAAATACAGTCGGCTACAGCAGACCGTATTCCGGAACAGATGTGACAGGCACCAACTGTGGCTGGGGTGGGACACGGTAAAACCTAACTCCGGCCACATGTTGGTTACACGTGACATGAGCTAGGAACTTTATTGGAACGGCATATTATACAGCGAAATAATATGTCCTAACAGCCACTGGACGGATGGACAGCAGTAAGAAGCAACAATGAAGCTTAGCCAAAACAAACTAATAGACGAGGAAAGAACCGGTGTCGTTAGGGTGGGTCACGTTTTTGTATTGGATATCGCATTCTAGTAAAGTTCCCGTTTAACTTTGGAGAAGCTATGACATGGACAGCTGTATCATCTTGTGCCTATGCTTAGTGCTAATGAACGCGGTCTTAACGAAACATACGCTATCACAATCCAAGCGTGTTCATACAAATGGGCTGAGCCTTATGAGCTCTCGTGCAAACGGTCGCGGTTTAGCAAGTTCTTTTTTATTGATACGCCTAGACAAGCAAGCTTTCTCCAAAATTACTTGCACGTATATACCTGTAACTTACTTTATATGTGCTCTGTTCATCAGTCATTATGAAAATTGTCACATGTTGCTTCTCATTTCATGTGCAACTATGCACACGCATGCACATACACACAGTAGGGCTCACCGATAGTTGTGTGCGGTACAATCTTCACATGAAGGTAATTAGCAGTAATGGTAACACAATCAAGTACACAAGAAAGTAAACGTGTAAAAAACAGCTCAGAAAAGGACTAATCTTCCAGAAACGGCCTGTTTTTGCAAAATCGAACGGTTGAATGACTTGAATACAGTCGCCAATCACGAGGTGCGATTAAGGTACGCGCGAATGACGTATAAAATGTTCACAAAGTTCTGAAAACTTTTAAAGGAACCTTTTGAGTGATACTGTCGCGCCAAGATTCAAGTTTTGATATGCATGCATATATTTGGCGTATCTGTATGCCTTCGACTCTTCAATGCCGTAAAACCCTTTTCTAACCGCACGTAACAAGACACAAACGCACTGAGACAATTACCTTTATTGAAATGCTTCCATTTTATCTGATCCATTTACCGTTATCCATTTATCCATTTACTGAACGGAAGGATCACTATTGACATAGCCGGAAGGGAGTGACAATCGTAAACAAATTCCTCAATTTATACCCCCTGCGTTCTCGTAAACACAGTATCACTGGTCTATAGCGTATGCGTGTACAAATTTTCCGAAAACAACTTCCGAAAAGTTCGCACGACCAACTTGAAAAATATCAATGTTAAAGTCTTTATTGACAGCTGTATCAATTAACTTAGCTTTTTTTTTGAATGAATAATCATTTTTTTTTTGTTTTTCAGAACCTCACTAGGAGGTCTTCAGTGACACATGTATTATACTTAAATATACGTTCACGGACCCAGCGGAGCGTATCTATGCTATCGTAGATTTTCACATGTAAAAAAAACGACGTCAGATGAAAGGCGACCCAATTTTCAGCGAGGCTGTGTACCTCAAATATGAGTTGCGCTAACATGGAAACGAATAAGTGAAAACATGGGCGCCTTCGGCGTGACCCCATATAAATTTTAGTACCTTTTAGATATCGCGTATATATTCCCTTACTGTTTTCGTGCCGCACTGCCCATTGAACGCTGGGTGGATAAGTCGCTACAAGTGCCCCTGCGGTGTCAGCTGCCGAAGGAGATAACTAAGGTGGCAATGATTTCTATCAGCCTGGAATATTCCAGCTTGCCTTTGTCTTGTACTATTAATAATGCAACGTATTGCTTCTCGTATCCATCAATAGCTTTACGAATAGCAGTCGAGCACACGTAAAGACGAAGATGGCCACACGTAGATTCAAATGGTAACTGCACATATACAAACACATATAAAAACAATGTCAACAGAGCTCCTTGCAGATGATTGAATCGTACGTATACATTCGTGCTATAGCAAAATTTCGTTCGGAAGACGCGCCAATGCGTTAAAGGGAAACGAGGTACTGCTGGTATTGTAGCACGCGGTTTATGACAAATACCGAGCCGGCGGTACGGACTGTAAAAAAACGGGATGCCGAAAGAGTATATGCATAGTAGAGAGCGTAACTGTTCTAAAAGTGTTAGCTAGATTCAAGAAAAAGTAGTAAACATATTCATCGTTTGTTGATACCATTATTGTTTCCCTTGCCAGCGACAGGGAAGCAGCCAAAGTCTGGTTCGGTTTACGTATGCCTGATTGTTTCACTGGTCTATCTATATACTATTGCCTAGCGATTATTTTGCTAAAAGGTCAAGACGCAAAATGCGTGATGCTCGCACCTGTTAAACGTTTGCACGACCTGTGTATGCATACAAGCAGATTTAGCTCAAACCGCTGGAGAGAATTCACGGGAGAACTTCGCTCGAACGTATTCTGTCATTGCTAAGCATATCCCTACCAGGATTGCTATTCGCTACCGAGGAACGATTGGCAGCTAGTTTCGTTACTCAAATGCGTCAATGCAGATAGCATATCGTATGTTATTAGAGTAGCTATTGGGCATCATCGTACCTCTACAGGCCCCTTAGAAGCCCATTATCGTCACTAACTACTATATCACCTCTTGACCTGTGCACCGGGCTTCGTGTATATAGCTAAGAACTGTACCTGAATCCATTGCTGCTCATTTACATAATAGTCGACGTTTTTAGAGAGGTCTGCACCTATAAAATCCTCAGTGAATTCCTTTATATATAGCACTCCGATTAATCATGCTCTGTCGAGCTAGGGTACGGAGCCCGCTTGACTTTAGCAAAAACAAGAAGTTGGTTTATTCCAGCGTCTTGATCTAATCGGCGCCTTCTGACACAATATCGCTAGCCGGCGATGCAGGAAAAGATGACAGGAAGGCCACTTGGCTCTTTAGCGCATAACGTTGCGCCATTTATCTCACCAGTAACCTATCTACAATATCTCGTCCACCTCCGATTTTTCCTGTTGACCTCTACTTACGCCAGTCTGGATATATGCACAACATCTCATGCAAACTGCATGTAAGCGCCGTCAAATGTCTTATACAGATAATGAAAGAAGACTGTGTACGAATCGAGATGGCTTGAATAAATAAAAAAAAAAAAAAATAGACGCATTTCTTCGCCGAGTGCCCCTACTTCCTCGAGACACTAGTCGTATAGTGTACGTTCCTTTGCGAGAGATATCAAAAATCGTCTCCTGAGCCGGCCGCTGTTGATTTCACGAATGGCTGAGCATGAGCGAATAAAAGTCAGCCCCCGCCTTTGCCAACCGCGCCTTCGTCTGCGCTATTCAAGAGGGCTATGACAGACCGCTGACCCAGTGCGCACTCCACACGGCCTGTTCAGCACGAAAAACGATACTTGTATGGCTCACTGAGCCTCAATAGCGGAGGGCCATCGCGAATTAATTGCTACTGTATACAGCTTTCCCGTCGATATGGTCATGGCTGTCTTTCAAAGGCCATTGTTGCTTGAACTACCACGTTATCTGTCGTATGATTTAGGATCCTTGCGTGTAATACTATGCATTATGATATTGTTCGAAATACACGTTGCTTGGACGTATAGTGCATGATCACTTTTTTATAGGATTTCATCCGCATGAATTAGATCAGTAACAACAATCCGATGCTATATTGTATCGTAGCTGTTTTCAGCAAAACGACAATGAGAAAAACTTGAAACGTTTATTCAACTAGAAGTGCTTTTAGCAGTCAGGTATAGAGTAAAGATGC